TCCATATCATTATAAGCAGAAACAATTTGAAGTACAGTGCATAGGCAAATATATGACTCTGAAACAACAAATTTATTTGTGTGCAACAATTTGTGTTTTAGGTCCCCGTGGTTTTTAAAAACTCCTATTGGTTTTTAATTTTGCACTTTGTTAGGTCTGATTAATGGTATTTCTACTGCTCATAGTAATGGTGCTCTTATTTATTAAAAGTAATTGAGAAGGTAATTGAGCTCTGCATTGACAGTTTAATGTTTTAAATAACAATTTAAATTCCTCCTTTTGTTACATTACTGCATTAAAAAATCTTACTAAAATCAAGAGTAAAAGAATGGCAGTGGAAGAGGAGGCAAAGGCAACCAAAACAGATGGGCCTTCCTGCAAGGATGGGACCTCTCAGGTAGGTGTGTTGCTCTGCAGAGAGTTCAAGGAATCTGTTTCATCACTGCTGACTTTCAGTGTTCAGGCCCCATCAGCCACTAGCAGACATCAGAGCCCAGAGTGGAAGTGTGTCAACTGAAACTGCTCTAAAGCAAGATAGAAAAGAAATTATTGTTCTTGAGTTCTACCTCTCCCTCTTTATGAGCCCCTTTCATCTTAGGTCTGAAGTCACTACATCATTTCGAAGATTATTTGGGAGGGAAAATAATCACAGAATCATGTGGCTGAAGTAGCAAGAGGGTATGGCAGCAATATAAGCATAATCCTGGACACAGGCAGTTGGATGGAGCGCCCATTAAAACAATTATGGTCCATCATGCCATGCCAATTCACAGGACAAGATGTACCAGGACATTTTTTACAGCTTTTCTCTTTATTTCTCTTTATTTCTCTTTATTTCTCTTTGTTTCTGCCAGAGGCTTTGCCTGCCAGAGAAGGGAGCTGGCTGTGTCACAGCTGACACAGGAGATTCCGACGAGGAAGCTTCACATTTGACTTGAGGAAGTCAGATAATCTGGTTTTATTTCAGTAAATTCTCAGCCAGTGTTTCCTTTCAGATCACATTGCTACAACATTTTTAAATGGGTCAAATGAAAGTTCCACACAAAATGATGYACCCACACAATTGTGTTAACCTATAATAAGCAGCATTTTAGAAACTGCGTTACTATACAATATATAAAATGTATTTACAGGTATTAAAACTGACTTTAAAAACCAATTTATAAAGTCAACTACTGCTTAATGGCTATTAACTGTGTACCTTAGACCCCTGACAAACCTCAGCTGTCAGTTAACACAAAGAATATTAGACTTGTACTACTAGTTACTCCATTAGTGTCTGGTAGCTCTAAACACTTAACCCCACAGTAACCTTGCATGCCAGCCTGATATCAAAGAATAAACTTTATCCTCTTATTCTGCTTTGAAAACCTAGGAAACTTTACTTTAAAAGCATATTGAAAAGATATGGTATTTAGAACTCAAGATAAAAACATKAAAGTAAAAATAAAACTGCAGAAAAGCTCAGTTATTCATCCTGATGGCAATGTTGGGGGAGCAGGAGGGTAAATATATGATAATACACTATCTACTACTTTGTCTGCCTTCCTGGGCTGGCCCCTGACAGCAGGGCACAAATCACAGCCTAAAGCTTTGTTGGCTCAGACACTGCCATACTTGCCATTGCAGGATGAGGTGCCAGTGGCAACTTAGTGCCCCTGCTAATGCCAACATTGCGTTTATTGCACATGCCTCAGTGCTTCCTAAAAATTAGTAAAACGGCTCCTTGTTCACAGAGAGATCAATGCCAGCACCAAACTGAAAGCTGTGCCTGTGAATGTACCAAATGCTGTGCTGCTTTCCCTTGAACCAGGACAACTCCAGGCTCTAGCCCTGGAACACCCTGCTGAGAACACACAATTTACCCCAAATCTGACAGATATCACAGCACTGTGCCCTCAGTACTGCAGGACTCATTCACCCCAGATATACATCTATATCTATATCTATATCTATCTATACATTTATTAATATTTTTAAACAGGTAACAAGATAAAACTGCAGGTTGGGAAATGYATGGAGCAGTGGTTTTGGTTGAGACAAAGTTGCACCTTTCTTAAAACAATTATAAAGCAGATTCAAAGAAATGAACCCTTGCCTATTTCTGGCTTTTATTTGAATACTGTCATGACTGGGTGAGTGAATCCAGGATGTATCCCCCCCAGTCAATTTTGTAGTACACTCCAGCTCTTCTCAACAATTTCATATTYAACATCACCATCTTTGAAAAAGTGACCTGCAACTCAGAGGAGAAAACATCTGCAGACAGTTATCTGTACAATGTAACATCTTGAGGGATATAAAGCATTCCAGAGAAACCAAGTATGCCCTTTCTAGCTCCAGAAATCCCTGAGGAATGAATACTTTTATATTTGCTGTTTTACTCTGGAGATCACTACTCAAACTAAATAAAATTTAGGTTTAAAAAAAAGAAAAAAGCACTTTATTCTATTCCAATGGAAATTTAAGGTACGAGTAGCTGTCAGGACAAAAGCTCTTACAGCTGCCTAGCACTTTGACTTAATCTCCAGTGTCTGATGCCTCTTCAGTTAAGAGCCAGAGGGACAAATCGGCAAGGTGATAGRGCTGGAACCAAACTGACCATGCAAACCCTTACCAAGCTCCTTTCTCAAGTCACACTTCARATAAAAGCACCGAAGTGATCACAGCAACTCAGACTAGATGGCCATGCAGCTCAGTGCTTTTACATTGACGGCATCCMAAAACAGATGCCCAAGGAAAACACAGGAACAGAGTGTGTGTAATAACCCTTCCTTAGCTTCCATCAGCCTGCAGTTAGGCTCTGCTGAGAACACCAGCACCTAATCCCACACAAACTTTAGTGAAAGAGAGCTCCCCTTTCAAAAGACAGCCAGCCCACCCCCTGAACTGGTGGAGCTTGTGCCATCTCACAGAACCGGGTCAACTCTGGAACAGCCACCGTTTGAAGACAACCAGCTGTGCAAACGTGCAAATCAGTGTAAACTCTGATTTACCTCATCCAGCACAACTTTAAAAGGAGCTGGTTACTTCCCTGCACAATTAGAAGGTGAGAACATCACTAGTTTTCGTTGCTTAATTTTTTAATATTATCTCACAGATTTTACCCTATAGATAAACACGTAGACTTTCCAGTACTAGTGTCTACGTTTAACATCTGGGTATAATTAATGGAAGGCAAAGGTTACTAGTGATAATTGCATGTTGCTTATATGACAAAACTATTACAACTCTTTTACAGCTATTTTTAAAACCTTTTGTTTTAATTAATTTGTTTCCAAGTGTTTCATTTACCTCAGCCTCCTGGTTACAATTTTTTTCCTGTGCAAACTAACAGATACATAGTTACTCATGAATAAATAATTACCCCCCAGCTCTGTGTGAAACTCACACACCGAGTTGAAGGTCAACAGAAATTCTGGATATTTATGTGCTACACAAACTGCCTCAACTTTGATTTTGCTGCTCTAAAATGTCATCTCACTGCATACGAAAGGTCTGTCTTAAATAAAATTGGAGTATACATTGTTTGATGGCACTGAGAAAATGCATTRTTAGATGTACTAATATATAATTTATTCACATAGAAACTTGGCTTCAAAATACTTCCACACTGACAGAAGTCATAGCACCCAAGGACTGCAGACACTTAGCATTTTGGATTTCAGTAAAAGTCAGAACAAGAACAAAATTGAAGACTCCAAGATGCCATATATTGATTTGATATTAAGAAAAATAATTCACTGAAAGGGTAGTTCAGCATTGGAATAAGCTGCCCAGGGAAATGGTGGAATCATCACTCCTGGAATTGTTYAAAAGCCGTGTAGATGTGGCATTTGGGGACATGTTTTAGCGGTGGCCTTGGCAGGGCTGAGTTCATGTCTGGACTTGATAATGCTGGAGGTCTTTTYCAGCCTAAACGATYCTGTGATTCTATACTRAGGAAATATAAAGCACCTCGGCAACAGCCGCTCTGCTCTCCCAGAGAAATCAGGTTGTAAACAACGTCATTTAAAAGCCGGATGTTGTAAAGAAAACGCTTTCATTCAAAAACTTAGGAGAAAGAGACCAGCAGAATCTGCCGCGCACTCCGACAACTCCTGTACTTTAATTTCAACCAGAGACATGCTAAAATGAACCGKTTTTACTGCACTTGAAAACCCCCTGAATCTTCCGGGATTTACGCATTTAATTTTTCATATTTAAATAACAATGAACCCAAATCGCTAGGGAACACGAATGTATACACAGCACTGCAAACCACCCCCAGTTTATGCTATGGACACCGAGGTAATCTCCTATACGGCTGAAGCACCCAGCACAGCGACCTCCGGAGAAATCATGGAGGAGACACTCGGCTTCTGCCAGAGACAGCACCTCGGCCGGAGCTCCCCGCCTTGCCCGAGCCGCTCTGGGCGGGCATCGCCCAAAGAATCCGCGGCCGTGGCTTAAAGCATTTGAAAGGGCCATTAGCGCCAGGGAGCGGCGCTGGGTGGAACACGGGCCGGCCCCAGACAGGGCAGGAGGGCGCTGAGGGAATGGGCGGCCCGCCCTCCCGGACCTGGGGGGTGTGAGGGAAGGAGACGTGGTGCTCCGCCAARCGCTGCGCCGGGAGGCTCGGGGGCCGACCCACCTCGGGGAGGAAGCCCTACCTCCCGGCCCCGCGGTGGCTCGGCAGCCCGCTCGCCGTTTTCCTCCCTTTTCTGCCCAGGAGGAGTCAGGGCGGATTGTAAAGGACAATGAGTTGGTGCTGACAGAAGAGCTTCTCTACAGTGATGCAGCGCCATCTTGCAATACGGACGAGAAGCTGTGGCGGGCGCCATTTTGCCTTTGGCCGRGGGATGAGAAGCGCCTCATTACATTTAGTCTCGTGGGCGCCGCCATTTTAGGTTACGGCAGAGCCTCCGCCTTCMCAAGCGCAACCTCATTGGGCGCCGCCATTTTGGATTACGAACAAGACGGCGACCCGCAGGGGTCCTCACCCCCTCCCTTCCTCTCTTTAGGTGCCTTCATAAAATGCCCGTCGAGAATCCCCTCTTTTTTCGCCCCGCTCCCAAGATGGCGTCGATGCGGGAGAGCGACACTGGCCTGTGGCTGCACAACAAACTGGGCTCCACGGACGAGCTGTGGGCACCGCCGAGCATCGCCTCGCTGCTCACGGCCTCGGTCATCGACAACATCCGCCTCTGCTTCCACGGCCTTTCCTCGGCCGTCAAGCTCAAACTGCTCCTGGGGATGCTGCACCTGCCCCGCCGGGCGGTGGATGAGGTGAGAGCCGGGTGGGAGTAGCAACGAAACGGGGCGCGCGTGTATGTGTGTGTGTGTGTGTGTGTGTGTGTGAGGGGGAGAGGTCGGAGATGGCGTGAGGGGAGAAGGGGGGCAGTGCCAGCACCACCTCCCCCGCCCGCCCTTTTCTTTCCACACGGAGGCTGCGGGGAGAGGGGACCCCGGGCTGCCCGCGGGGCGAAGGCGAGCGGCCGCAGCCCCTCAGGGTAGGGGCGTGTAGCGGGGCTGATCCCCACAGCCATGCCCGCCTCTCCCTCRCAGTCTTCCTTGGACAGGGAGGAAGAAGGGAATAAGATCTCTTWGCTCGGAGGACTCTGTCCCCGGCGTGAGGAAAAGCGCTGAGATTCCCCGTGATAAGGGAGTGAGTGGAATGGGAGCTTTGCTGCTGCTCCTCCTCTTCCTGCTGTTCGGGGATACCCTGGTTGGCAGTAGYCTTTTGAAAGCAGTTTGGACTGCTTTCAAACCCATCGTGTGCCCCACAAAGACTCGTTATAGGGCTGTGTTTTGGGTGCATTTTGGGGAAGAGAGCTTTTCTGAGGCAGTGGTTGTTCGAGGGCTGGGACGGAGGCCGGCTCATTTAGGAGTAGTGGTGTGTGTTCGGTTCCTTTCACTCCTTCCTTAGTACTGGCAGCTGTGTAGGTGTCACAAGTTGAGCATCTAGGCTTTAGGAAGGACAGCAGCAAGTGCTGAAACTTTGGGAATGGAATATTGGGGTCTGCACTAAGCAGTGCTTTTCCCCACCCTTCTYCAGTCAGGTCTTGACTGAGGAAAATTGCCATGATTTTTCTTTGCCTGTCTTTACCTTTCTGGGAACAGCTGGTGCTTTCCTCTGCTGTCCTACCCCAGCTAATAAAGTAACTGGTTCGAGTCTGAGCTGGCTCTGCAAGCTTTTTCACTTGGCCCTGGACCATAATTCTGCACCTGGCTTATTCTTACCGGTAGGCAGCTACAGATGTTTGGGGCAGTAGCTGGAAAACGTCTGGAAATCCTAAGTTTCCTCAGCTAGTTTGGAGAAATTTCTGTCTTACTTCCATCACATAAAGTAGTCGTTCCTTGTAACAATCGTGGAAGTGTTTAGTTAGTCCTCACCTTCTCGTGTAGAGTATCCTCAGCTGTGCTTTCACCAGTCTCTTTCTTGGCTAAGACAGAGCTGCTTCTTAGGCTTAATATACGTATATACCAGGCAGGGTGTGGTATGCAGCTCTGATTATTGTATACCCAGCTTCTGTGCACTTCTAGGCTGAAAATGGGCAACATCACCTTTAAGCAATAGTTTCGTGTTTGTTGGTGTCTGTCTTGCCACAGGTATCTGTATGATTGTTCACTGTGTTACACTTGTGTTACTTTACTTTAAAAAAAATAATACTTGCTCAGCATGTTTATGCTATTGTTGAAGACATAATATTCATGTTTAGTGCCTGTGCAGTGAACGAGCTGTCATCCTTGTGTGTGATAAATGGGGTCGTGTTTTGGACAAACTAGATAATCAAGGCTGGAAAGGGGGATGGGAGATCAAGTGAACTCATGAGTTTGCAAAATTCTTCTGAACTTGGTATGAAAAGCCAAGTAACCTGGAAGAAAWTCATATTGCAGTGTTTAGGAAAATCGGTGGTGTTATTAGATTGAAAAGAGCTCCAAAAGCTCAGGGACCTTCATAAATAGCACTCATGGCAACTCTTTGAGGGAGCAGCATTCAGATAAACTGAAATAATTTGTTGAAATGCTTCAACAGGGTTCATTGGGTGGTAAAAAYGTTTTAAACCAAACCCAAGGAAGATGGTAGCCAGCAGCTTTACTGGATCTGTGCTTTTGTTAGCCATGGACATAAAGTGTATTCAGAGAAAAGCGAGTCAGTCAGTGTGCTTTTAGTGTGTCCTTAAAGCAATCAGTTGTGTTCCAAGTGTAAAGCTCTTTTTGCTGCTGTGACAAAATATTGTGGGATTTTTCAGTTTGAAAGAGTTCATCTGATGATGCTTGATTTAGCTCTATCTTCAGCATCTTAATTATTTCAGGGATGTGTGATTAATTTTTTTTTCCTTAAACTGGGAGAAGTGCCTTAAAAAAATAGAAAAAGTCATGAGACAGAAGCCCTTAACATGATAATAGTTACCATCTATAGATGGTAAAAATAGCTGATGTAACCAAACTGCTGACAGAAAGGGCTGTTGCCTTATCRGATGCTCATCATTTGTGGTGAGTTTGCTAAAATAGTTTTATTTGTGCAGATTTGTCACCCAGCTTACTGTCAAGAGTTTCAGTATTTCAGTTGGCATGGAGTATTTTGCACACAATGTCCAGAAAATAGATAAATGTGTCCAGAATGTCCTGTGCTGTGCATGCGTCTGCAACAGCCTCTGCTCATGTGTGGGGGAGTGCTGGAAGTGGTTCCTTCCTGCCAGRACAGGATACCTGTAGCTGCCTGGAAGTGAATTTATCATTTGGAAATCACTCCCATGTCTAAAAATGATTAAGCAGAACTATGAGAGTACTTAATTAGTCTCTTTGGGAAGTCATATGTCTTTTCCATGCCATGTGCTAGTCTGTATCGATCATGTGCGAGAAGCACTGAGCTGGCATTTGGAAGCTTAATTGTATTGGAAAATATATTGCATCAGCTTTGTAAAGCTTTGGGACTCTAGATAGCRGCTACAGGATACGTTACATATTAAAAGAYATTCCCCTCTCTAGATAACAGATTMAACTCAGTTATTTTCTCTTCAAAATATTTTTTTCTATTTCTGTGTAGTAGTAATAGCGTTTTCATGAAAGCTTAGAATAACATGGAAACCATTTGGGAGTAGACATTGGAGTAAAAAGCAATGTGGGAATGAAGGAGTCTGGTGGTATTTGGTTTAAAAGGGATTTAATTGCTCCTGGTCCTTTTTAAATCTCTGTGAAAGCTTCAGTCTAGACAAGTGAMTCTTCAGTGAGCTCTCTTGAAAGCTCAGTCCTTCACTTTAAATGGTTTTATCCTCATATGTAATATCTTTCAATTTTCATAATGTTTTCATTCAACACTCCAAATATTATATAGATATAATTGACTTAATCCTCATAATACTTCTGTGGGACAGGTAATAAACCTAATTTTTATCATGCTGTGAACCTCATTACTACATGTTTGTTCCTGCTGTCTAAGAAGAATAATTTGCTCTCATTTTCATTTTAAGTTATGTTTTGTAGGCAGTTATCAAAAATTCCTTTTCCACTGTAATTCTCTGGGCAGAACTTTCAAACTCTTGAGTCTTCTGGCTTTTCATCTGCTATTTTTTTTCTAGATAATTGCACTTATTTGAAATGATGCCTAAAGCCCAGCGTAGTGCTGACCAGAGAGAGTTTCAGTTGTGGATTTGGCAGAACAGTTATTTCTGTTTATTTTGCATATTATATTCTTGTTAACCTGATTCACAATGGCAAGTGCAAGTTTTCTTTTTATGCCAATGTTTAGTTTATTTGTTCAGGGTTAGACTGTGATGTTACACCCAAGTCTGGAACAAGGACTGTGCTTCTGTGCTCTCTTAAATATCTTGAGAGGAAGATCCCTATCCCAGCAGAGATCTGCTCTTTGAGTCATTTATGCATGGAAGTGGGAATTGTGAAGTGAGTATGGGTGCAGAGGAGTAAGAGTGGACATGACACTTGCATTTCCCTTTGCAATGAGAACACACAGGCTGCTGTGCACYTTTCTGGCCTGCACTTAGAGTTCATATTATTCTGTGATGTAAATAGTATATTTTAATCTAATATTTCTCTTGGCCACTTGAGCTCTTCTTCATTATTAAAATGCAAACCACATACAGTATGGTATTGACCCATCCTGGGTTTGTATTGTGTAAATATTAATACTGCGTTTTCAATCCAATGCTTTTAGCTTAATGAAAATGCTCTATAATAATAATGCAGATACCTATTAAATATCTTTTCTATAACTTCCGAAAGATTAAAGCTTCATTTGTTTTATTAGCCAACTGTTGCTGCAGTTGTCCAAAACTATTGTCACATATATTAATTTGAGCAGAATATRAAGCAAATAAATGGGAATTCTTTGYAAGTAGTCATCYTGGAGCTGTCACGTGTGTTACTAGTAACACTTCCTTTTTTACACCTTCCCACAGTCCTGTTTGTCCTTCCTGCACAGCCATTATTAATCTCCCTTTTGTCTCTATTCTCAGATGCTTGCCATCCCTACTTGTCAGATGTTTCTAGTCATGGCCTGTGCATCTTCTTGTGTGCCAGCAGGATGAGTAAAATAYTTAAGGTGCTTAAGATTTAGATGAGAAAGACACCAGAACATGTTACATCAGATCTTGACATTCATGCTTAACAAGATGCTGGTTGGAACTSATGGGAGTCTTACTGACCCAGTGTTGCAATCTTGGACAATTAAGAGTTTGGGATTATGGCTGTGCCCTGTAAAGTAAAGGAAAASTGCATGTAGGATTCCCTGTTGAATGCATTTCATGCATTCTCAAACCAGAAATTAAATATTTCTTTCAGCTGCCAGTTGAACAGTGAAGTGGGAACATGTATTTAAATTGCCATTTGAAGACAAATCTGAGTCAAAATTTGAATCCAGGCTTGTTAAAYGCAAAGCCAATGTTCAGGCAAGGTCTCTGGTTAGCTCACAGTACATGTTGGTGTGCTTTGCTTCCCTGTATGTGACAGTGACTGTTCTTCCACCCTGTTCTTTCTGCCATGAGGCCTTGTGACAATGTTATTTGCCCAGTGCTAGGCAAACAAGTTGTTTCTGGGCTCCTTTCTTGAAGGAACCAGTAAAGCAGTGGGTTGTGGCATAGGCTGCCTGAACTTTAGCTCTGAGAGCAGTGGCGATGCAACGTGACCAGATGAACACTACAGGAACTTATATAGATAGTATAGGCAYGTAGCTCTGAATTTTTGGTAAAAATAGGAGTTTTGTGAAGTAGGTATGAAGGGTAAATTGTGAGGATACAAGAAACATTTTTCCTCTAGCCTGACTTTGATGAAGGAAATTACATTCTCTAGGCTTACATGCATTAATGGTGTCCACAGAAAAGCTTGTAAAWGCAATGGACTCGTCAGCTCTTCGAGGATGTTTTTGTTTTCCAGGTATTTCATGTTAATCAGTACCTTGATTCCTTTAGGATAGATAAGAGAATAAAAGATTTTGYTTTGATAGTGTTTGCAGTCATCCTCATCCACTGTAGAAGTGACTTTTAAGGAATTTAGGATTATAATAGAGAATTGACAAGCTTGTGGATGTTCAGGTGGTGTTATGTTTACTGAGGAAGAAATGAGCAATGTAGAACAACAAAGAGTAGAACCTTAGGAACTGATTCTTTCCACTGTGTAAGCATTGGTTAAATTTGACAGCACATTGAACAGTGYTTGGTCCTAGTTTTGTGCTCAGTTTATCTAACACAAATCAAATCAGTGGCACTGCTGAAGGTGGCAGCTGGCTTATATAGTGTCTTCTTCCTGCTCCTCTCTTTGTATTCTGGTGTTTGTGTGATTGCAGTCAGTCACACCAAGGTGCTGGTCAAGCTTAAAGCTACAGAAATGCTCATTTTGGGTCAGATGGATTCATGCAATTTGTTTTACAAGCACGTAACATAACATGCAAGCCCAAAAACATGCAGGGGATAAAGGACAAACTGGCTCTAGAGTGGACTTGTAAACCCTTCCAAAGTGAGAGGGCGATAACATTGTGTGGATGAAAGGACTTGAGAAATGTCAATGTTTGTTTGCCTCTGAGCTTTGTAAGTGGATAGGAAAGGAATGGGGAGCAGAGATTTAACTTTTCTTTTATTTGGAGTTGTATGTGTGGGCTTATTTTATTAAACTTATTTTCATGTAAGAGTGCTTTACATAAAGAGAAAGAATCGCCGCATAAAGGTGAAGATGAGCCCCTTGCTTGTCTTTCTGTGTTCAGAAACAAGATGACTGTAACTAAACTATATGTGCCAGAAGGGGTTGTGAAAAATCAAAATTCATGTATTTCCTYACACTTGCTAATGCATTCTTCAGTRTTAATACAATGCAGATAGAGTATGGTAAACTGCTTTGTGTAATTTTACTGTTGTTTTGTGTATCTCAAACATCTTAGTTTTCTGAAGCTAATGCTGTCATACTTACATGAAAATTTACTTAGAAAAAAAGCAAGTGGTCATTCTTTGGGGGTTTAACTTTACTTGTGAATGAGGAAAACAACTAATTTAAGAGATTTACTGTGTAAACCCCTGACTACAGTCACCTTGATTTTCATTTCATAGTGCCAACAGATATGTTGGTCAGTAATTAAGAAAAATATTATTACATTGAAACTTTTGAATTAATTTCATGCATTATTTTGCATTTTTCAAAATAGAAAAATAAGTTTTTTCTGACTATAGAAACTTCCGGTAGATGGAAAATCTTGTTACTTGTGGTATATTAGAGGACTGTGYTTACTTCTCTAATACATTATTTTTGTCAAACAATACAGTATTGATTAGGTTATTTTGGCCTAAGCTTATGCAATGTTTTGAAGACTTAATTATGATGCAGCTATAATCTGTCTGCTTAATTATGCTGTAGGCTGGCAAGGGGCACATCTTCACTTAGATGCCTGTTCTAAATAAGCTGTATTCTATTCAGTGCTGGGAATATGCAACTAGAAGGTGTGGGTTCACAGGGAGCATGGTGTAAAACATAAGGAGATAGTAATGTAGACATTTGGCTGCTGCTTTTAGTAAAAATGCCCAGTGCTAAACAAAGCTTTGAGCTGCCAAAAGCTMAAACCAAACTTGGGTTAGTTTGGCTGAAAGCGGTATAAAAAAAATCACCTTAGTTCATTCTTTACTTGGTTCTAGAGTTAATGTATAACTATGTGGAAACAAGTCTCCCTCTTCCCTCCCCCAGCAGTAAAAYATTGTGCATGTTTGTGTCTTTTAAAAATAAATCCAAATATAACCTGTTTAAAACTGTTTCCAATTGGTTGATTTTCTTTTTCTTTTTTTGTTAGATGAAAGGGGCACTGACTGAAATTATCCAGCTCGCTACCTTGGATTCAGACCCCTGGGTCTTAATGGTAGCTGATATTTTAAAATCCTTTCCAGATACTGGCTCCCTTAACCTTGATCTTGAAGAACAGAATCCCAATGTTCAAGATATTTTAGGAGAGCTTAGAGAGAAAGGTAAGCCTTTTCTGTTGGTGAAAATTGCAGGAATGTGGTGCCTTTCAGGAATAACCTGTCATTTTCCAGGCAGCCTTGCTGTCTTAACAGTAGAGGTACCAGAACAAGCACTGTCTTGTCTCTGAATAACCACAATTCATGACCTGAAATGTTACTGGAYTGGGAACTGTGGTATTTGAGGAATRGTAGCTTCTTGAATTATCTTTTCACATATCATCAGAACTTAATGTCAGTTATTGCCTGGAGTGTGAAGGGCAACACAAAAGTTGTTTTGGATTCATTAGCATCAGAGGGAGGCTGTGCTGCAASTTAGTGTGGGTTTTTTTCTCTGTTGCTCTGTCTCACATTTGTAATACCAAAGAAGACAGCAAGTCTCTGTCTTGTGTGGTCAGCCTMGGGTGTGTGGAAGCACCACCACTGTCCCGGGCTGGAGCTGTCTGTGCCGGCATGTCTGTGCAGCAGGTGATAGGTGCTGGAGGGAGACTGATCCCTGGAAGAGTTATGCTGCTGTTGGCCAAGTAGCTACAGATTGCCCAGCAGCTGAAAATATGGGGTCAGGCAGTTGCACAGTTGCTGCTTCAAACAGCAAATGGTGATGCAAAACTACTCCTACATCAGTGGATTTATTTTAGCCTATTGTCTAGCAAAAGCCCTCGGGCATCAATGGACAGACATGATCTTGGGGCTAGGATTGTAGCAAAACAATAATTAAATGACTTGGAGGTGGAAATACTTTGTTTTCTTACTTATGAACAAACATCATTTGTCTGTTCACACTTGTGATTTGGATTTTCATTTAATAGATTCTTCTTCATATGTGATTTTTAGGGAATCTGAGAATTCAGTAATTTTTGTCTTTTTTGACAATAGTAGCATATTTAAGATAGCTATAATTTGACWAGGTATAATTAACATGGAAGCTTTTATGAAGCTAATGTGATAAACAAACATACTAATAACTGGTTATATACTGTGTAATAATTGGAACTGAATTACTCTTGGTGTCTCAACAAGTAATCTAAAATTTAAAACCACCTGTACAGTCTATTTGTAAAATGTTTTGTCATTAGCTGTCAAAGAGTTGCTAATACCTGTTTGTACTGTGTTAACTCTTTATGCAGTAAGTGAATGTGAAACTTCAGCCATGTTGCCGTTGGAATGCCAATACTTAAACAAAAATGCCTTGACAACACTAGCTGGGCCCCTTACTCCCCCAGTGAAACATTTCCAGCTGAAAAGGAAACCTAAAAGTGCCACTCTCAGAGCTGAACTCTTGCAGAAGTGTAAGTAGTATTAAGATTGTGTACAAATTAAATGGTGAAAGGAATGTTCAGTCTTATTCTCCAGTATGGTGATATACATTAAAATTGTCTTTTACAAAAGCTTTCCTGGATGAAGAGGGACTGATGTGTGGAAGAGCAGGTGCACGTCATTCCAGCCAGGATTGCATTAAAATGCTAATATTGATTTAAATGCTGTTTAGATTTCAAGRCATACAAAGAGCTGTAGCTTTTTTAAGCACAGATAGGTCCTCTCGTGGGTATATTTAACAGTGAGGACTTGTGAGGGACAGCTTTGGTTAAAGCTCCTGAAACAAAAGTAAAATGAGCACATAGTTTTATTTTGCCATGTRCTTTTGGAGCAGGGAGCTGCTAATTCATTCTTTCTTTCACCCAGTATGGCTGTGTAGGGTGTAAAACCCAAGACGGTTTTCTCTTAACAAAAGGCAACATACGTGTACATTTATGTATTGGTCGGTGGTTGAACTAAGTGATCTTAARTTAGTTTATTGCAGCTGCTGTTCTGTAGTTTACTGCTTGCTGCTTTCCTGCATGTAACTTGAGTTCGTCTGGTTAAATACAAGATTTGTAACTTTTTATGATGTGTCATATAACTTGTTKGATTATTTCAATTGATTATTTCAATTTCTGTTGAGTAAATTGCCTAATCTGGTAATTGATTTTRGTTTAGGCTGCCTTGTCTGTTGCATAGTCATTGATTTTGCATTTTCTCCAAATACTGTTTGTTTCACATAAATGACCTSGATTTTCATTAAATGTAATTCTTCCTTTGTTGCTATCTCTATCTCTTTATGTATTGGTTAATAACATTTTGTATAAGAAGGAATGCGTTGTATTTTTACAGCAYGGATTCTGTAATAACTAAAATCCTTTTTCCTTTTAGCAACAGAAACTGCACAACAGCTCAAGAAAACTGCAGGAGTGCCTTTCCATGCCAAAGGCAGGGGACTGGTCAAGAAGATAGATACAACAAGTATGGCTCACTTTCATCAGTTCTCAGAAASAAAACCTGATAAAATGGCCTTGATGAAGAATAAAATTACCATCTGTTTTTTACAAAAGCTTAATTCTTTTTTGAAGCAAAGGATTTCTCCATTTCTGCCTCCCTCTCTCTCGATACTTAAATATTTCTGACATGTCTTGTCAGAAAGAACAACAGTGTGTGGGGTTTTTTAAATGGCAAGTATATCTGCCATGCTTCTAAACTGTATGCAGCTAGATCATGCCTATAGACTTGATAGGAATTTAATTTGCATGACTCCAGGAATAACTCCTGACTAAGCCATGTTGCTCCAAAAGAGAGCAGAGTGGATCRCAGTAGTCTGCTGTGTTCTTTAAARTGCTGTGAAGTAGAATGAAACTATCTTGTATTTGTATRTATCTGTCTGGAGAAAGAAGAGGGGACAGTGTGTTCTCTGCAGCCAAGGCTGAGCAGTAAATTCTACATCRCAGACATGTAGAATGGTTCTTCAGCTTTGTATTAATACATTCCAGCTGTTTGCTGAAGTTCCTGAACAGCTTGAATTTTTCCAAGTAAGGAGYGAGAAGAGGGTTCAAAATTAGTTACATTATCTAAGTCACTGCACAAGTATAACTTTCCTGGCCACCAGTGATGCTGAGGTATGAAACTAATTGATTTCATGATGTTGTGGCTGTAAGCTATGAAGTATTTTGCATTGATGCTATTTAAGATGTGGCTTTGGGGGCTGGTTTGTCCTCATGTTCAAGCAGGAAATTCAAAAAGTAGTTACAATTTGAACTAAAAATTGTTYCAGTATACGACTGTCTGTTCTTGACATTTTGTGTAGCTGTTGAATTACTAAAGCCAGTTTTTAGATGTGGCCTTTAGAGCCAGTTGGGCTCTAGAAACAGGAGYTGGGGACCCACTGAGGTTTGCTCTGCTGAAATGGACTCACATGGATCAGAGGATTGTCTTATGGTGAGAACATTTTCAGTATAGCATGTAGAGGAATACTCAGAGTCTCTAAGCTCAAACTGAAGTTCTGTGTTTATCTTCAATTTGCAGGGCATAATGAAATTGTCAGGAGACTCAAAAAATCTTGACACATCTGTATATGTGTCTCTAATCTTTTAATAATTGAAAGATTGCTGTGTTTAATGGTAGGATTAAGTGTGAGGTAGAAGTGCAGCAGCATAGATTTGGGGGAAACAGATGTTACAGGTGTAGCTGATGCTACTGTGTGTTGAGACAGCAGGGTTCTGTTTGCACTATAGACCCAAACTGGGTCCTCCTTGTGCAAAAGCAGCTCTAGAATTTCAAATACATGTGTGAGTCAATAACTTACCTTTGCAGTAGATCACWAGCCCTTAGCCCTGCAGAAGCTTGGATAAGAATTTTGATTAAATACAGTTTTACCAWGTAACTAGATTGTGAAATCCAAAGAGCAACTTTGGCAATAGTTGGATTCTAAACATTAATGTCCTGTACTGTTTCACATGTTCAGAGTTTATTTTTTTACAAGTAAGGAAAGCATCAATGTGTGTAGGAAAAGTAGATTTTGTTAGCAGTGCACCTCTGTGATTACTTCAGGTAGAACAGGGTTGCAAGCATTGGTCAGTGATATCAACTCTTTCTCCTTGTTTGAAGGGTAGAACCTAATCTGACCTTTGAGGGACGTGGAGTATGTTATCGACAATTCCGCTCTATAAACATTTTAATTTAAAGGGGAAGGTAGTGTGTGCATTAGGAAGGAAAAAAGCTGAAGAACTCTTTAATGCATTTTTCATAACTAATTAAACATATATTTCAGTTGTTCCTCTTTGCTCTTCCCTAAGCACCACTCAAAGGAATACCAAAACAAGCTCCGTTCAGGAGTACTTCAGCACCCAGTGTTTTTAGTCCTTCTGGAAACAGAACTCCTATTCCTCCTTCAAGAACACCTTTGCGCAAAGAAAGAGGAGTAAAGGTAGTGTATTCCTTCTTGTTTTTCTGCTCACTTCTTCTCCCTCACCTAAAGTGAATTTCTGCTGCTGTTTTGAATCAAGCATAAATATATTAAAGAAAAAAAAATAAGGATGATATTTAGAGATAAACTACATATGTTTCACAATGATTATTAAGTTCTCTGTGGTCTTTCTTTTTAGCTTCTAGATATCTCTGAGCTGGATATGGTAGGTGCTGGCCGTGAAGCAAAGAGAAGAAGAAAGACATTAGGTTGGTACAGCATTCTACTTGCAAAGGTTATCCATACACCTGCAAATATGATCAAGATTTGTAGTATCATTTTGTTTTTAAGTTGCTGAAGCTTAGCCTGAGCTAAACTTTAAAAAATGAGGGGATGAACCAACCCAAATAGGTTTTAAGGGAGGATTTTAATGTRTTTCAGTGCTCCTACTCATATTGCCTTGTGCCTTGATAACTCAGTCCTGTGAAAGGATGTAGCTAATCACTTGTGCTTTGGGCAGCCCATATGTGTGAGTRGCTTCAGTACTGGAATTTTTCAGAGTTATTTTGATAATGCTTAGTTCTACTGGCTGTATGGCCAAATAAATTAATTGAAAGTAATATTGAAAAAAATGTCTAGCACTCTCCAGAATTCTGACCAAGAGRTCTTAGCAAGTGAACAGTATCTGATACACTGCTTTTAAGGCAAGTGACAGGGTAGTGCCCTACTGAACCACATAGAGAAGAAACACTGTGCATCATATTTGTCACAAAACAGCTTTTTTGTATTTGTCACAAAAAAAGAGTACCACCTCAGAACAAACCCATAATTGCAATTAAAATGTTGCTTGGGCTTTCATGCTTTCTAGTATCAAATTTCTCAGTTACTGTATCCTGTACATTGTGGTCCAGTTCATTATTGGGTTCATTATAAAACTCTGTTTGGAGATTACTTTATCTATTTCAGCATGTACCCCTTTAAGCATGTTTTAGAAGACTTTGAGAAATGCATTTTTATGTCTTTGTTTAAAATGTRTATTCATATTTCAGAAAAAGTTGGATTGATTTCTCTTTTTATGCAATAGATACAGAAGTTGTGGAAAAGCAAGCCAAAGAAGAAACAGTAGTAGAAAATGCTACCCCAGATTATGCTGCTGGCCTTGTATCTACACAGGTAAAACCAAGCACAAAAAACAACCAGTCATAAAAAATACGGTCTTGACATGTGCTAGTCTCAACCACTTAAACATTGTAATGGTGTTTTACTCACTTGTTGAAACATGTCTCTATGTAAAAATTTTTACCTAATTTTTTCAAAATTCCATATTTTCACCAAAATAAAAAAGCAAACCTCTTCCTAGGAGTAATTTAGTTAGGGAGAGGGGGTGGGAGCAGAGTGTAGGTTTTTTTCTTCCTATTTCTGAGTATATTAGAAATTTTCTCAGTATATTAGAAACCATGGTGCAGCTTTGTTTTCTCAGTCAGGACYTGGATTTTCCAAGAATGCTCTGTCCTGCCTATATTTCTGTATAAGAAGCTGTTTGGTCCATGTGACATGCTAAGACCAGCATACAGGCAAATCTTGGTAGGCCAGAGTCCAGAGTGAAGGGCATTGCCTTTCTTTCTGCAGAGTGTAAAGAGAATCTTTCTTTTAGTGAGTTCCACATTTTACAGAATGTCCATGCTTTATATAGTAGAGCTACCTTAAATTATTTGTCTGTTAGACTGTTCCCCCAAAACTTCTTTCCTCTCTCACCCCCTTATGTTTACAAGGCTGTATCGGGCAGTGAAGTCTTGGACCATGCTGGTGTTTTTATGTTGTGTATGCAGTGTTATGTATAATTAAGTAYAAAATGAGACTTTTTCTTTAGCCTCATCATCCTAGATGGCATCAGTCATGTTGGTGTTGACTTGCCTGTTTCAGTGGGAATGGGGATTTTACCTATGCTGTTACTGCAGCCTTCTGCTTGCTCCTGTCCCAGAGGCTTTTGTCTTCTCCTGGGTGATACTCTAGTAGGCCTTTTGTCCACGGATGAACACAGGTTCTGCTTGCTAATGGCAAAGAGCATGTTTGCTCAGGCAGACCACTTAATCCTATAGTGCAGTTCTTCATGGAGTGCCATCTACACAAATTTCTAATGTTTAAAGTAGAAAGTTAGTGTTAAACATGTTAGGTAGGACTCCTAACCGAGGAATCCGCAATTAAGTTCCCAAAAGGAATATCACAGTAAAACTGGCGTTGAAGTTGTATTTAAAATGCAGAAACAGCCCATGAATACTTGCAGTGTGGCTTTAATACTTTCTTTTCTGTTCTGTAGAAACTTGGCTCGTTGAACAATGAGCCTGCACTACCTTCTACAAGTTATTTACCTGCTACCCCCAGTGTGGTGCCGTCTTCCTCCTATATCCCAAGCTCTGAAACACAGCCAGGTAACACACTTCCTTGCTCTTGGGACCTAATACCTCCARCTCTGTACTGTTTTATTGTCAAGCTGCTCTTCTACTTACAAACCTGCTATCCCTCAACTCAAGTGAAACTCCACCTTAGCAATACAAAAATCCATTGCAAGACTCCAGCCATTGGATTTACGTTAACCAGACTTGTCATTTAACCTAAATAAAGAAAACAGTTGTTGGCTCTAAGTTTTAGACTTACTGCTAGTTAAGTCAAGTAAGTAAAACAATTTCCTGATTTGATTTTTTTCTTACATAGTAATAGAAAATCTAGCTTTTGTAATCGGCAAACAGTAATCAGTATTAAGTCTGGAGTATATATTCCATAAACACACATACTAGCAYGTACAAAGCAGTTGCTTTCAGAAATCAGTTTTATTACTAGAGGCGAGTACAATTACCTTTCATACAGTTTGGGATTAAGCCATCCATTTTTCTTTTACCTTTGTATAACAAAGATTGGTAATAGCTGGGCTCCTGTATATTTTTAAAAGTGCTGTTATTTTCAATTCTAGAAAATTGCCAATAGTAAAAAAAAAACTGTAGAAGTCCTTTTTCTACACTTTTATTTTAACCCAGTTGGCTTTACTTTTCCTTCCCTGTTGTTTGTGAAGTCATTAAAGGATTGTATCAGTTTGTGCTAATAGGTGTGCRTGGCTGTGATTCATTACCAGATTTATCTGTTAACAGAACCAGCATTTCAGTTTAATACATTATTTTTACTATTGCTTGTGAGCTGTGGCATTTGGGACACTATAGAAAGCTGCATATGCAAAACCCAATCATTTCACTTGGCCTGGAAACAATTCAGAATCTCTCTGAAGGTCCATGCACATCTTTCCTGGTGGAAAATTGACATCTCCAGAAGGAGTGGAGCCAAGAACACATCAGCGTGTCATCAGCTATAGTATTATTYTCCAGAGTGTTACAGCAGGAAAGGYCTAGTTTAAAATTCTCTGTTCTTTCTCAGGGAGTATGGAGTATTTAGCTCTTCTTACAGACTAGGAACATAAAACTGTTTCCTTGATTATAAGATGYTCACAGAAGACCCACAGATTTGGCCTTGCATAATCTGAGATTGCATACTTCATGGAAGTCAGTTATTCTGACAAGAGATAAAGCCAGTAATGAAACTTGTACAAAATTAAGGAATAACTAACAGTTGCAAATTTTTATCCTCTCAATTGTTGCTCATCTACTGAAAAATACCTGTATTGTTAAAACCATTACCATGTCTGTTTTGAGATGGAGAACCACGGACATCTCATTTCCTAAAACTGAATTGGAAGGGCATCACTGTAGCTCTGATCTGTATCTGCCTTTTGTSGACTGTGAATGCAGTGTGAACAGGTCAGCTTAAACCTCAGGAGGTTTGTGAAGGGTGCTTAAGCAGCTGTGCCTGTGCCTAAGAGCTGCAAAAGAACATAGGTGGAGTGTCCACTGGGTTCTTACCAAGGCTGAACAGATAATAACTTTTATGGTCAAGCTGCTGTGATTTCCTAAGATTTTCCTGCCTCCAACTGCAGCCAGGTYTGGAATAATATAACTTCCTTAGTGCAGGTGAATGGATCGACTTTGAGAAAGAACAGAGTTAAACCTTGTCAAAGTAGTGGGGTTTAAAACACTTCTAGCAGTGTTTAAATAATGAGTGATTTTTGAAGACTACCTTTTTAATTCTGACATCTGTTAAAGTATACTTGTGTTTTCGGTATGTGTTGTTTAATTGCCACTTCATTTGAAGGCTGCTACGTTAGGTAAAAACTGATTAAGTGTTTTTGGACTTGCTTTTATGTAATGATACAGCAACAAACGTGGTAGGATCAGACTGCATTTATTACAGCAATATAAGCTTAAAAGTAAATAAAGCAKTTTCAATTTAGTAAATCTGATATCCATTTAACACCAATTTTGATGCTAAATATAGTGTAATCCATATTGGATAGCTAGTTACTCTGTTCTCTAATTATTTCTAAAGATAATTGAGTAGAAAGAGCATTAGCTCAACTTTTTCATATGGATATTGGATGGCATATTGAATCGTGGTGCAAAACGGAATCAGCAGAGATATTAGTTTTCTTTAAAGACCACTGATGATGCTAATCCCTGTTTGTGGATTATAATGTTTTTAATTATCCTGACTGGTTTTTGCAGCTGGCTCTGCACGAGAGGCCTTGCAGACTAACAGACAGACTGAAGAGCCTGCAGCTCCAAATGCTACTACAACTCTCCCTGCACAGTTCAAACAAAGGACACCCATGTACAACAGTAACTCTAATCCCCCTGCAGCTACACCTACCTCACCCCTAACACCCACCACACCTCCTGCCATCTCCCCTGCGGCACAAGCACCACAAGTGGCCCCCCAAACTCAGCAACAGCCACCACCGAAGAAAAGCCTCTCTCTCACAGTGAGTAAAAACGGGTTCTTTTTGACTGATGATTTTGATGCAGATTGGATCTCATTTATATGTTGTCATTTCTTGGCATTTGGATCMTGGTGTGGTTGAGGCTGCTTTTTTATAACCAAAGATTACAAAAATGTTTTGTGGTTTAGCACTGCTGTCTTAGTCACAACATTTTTAGTTGTGTAGTGTTATTGTTGCAGTGAGATGCCAGTATTTAGTGCTATTTGTTATGTAAAACAATGTGTTGCTCATTATTTTGGCAGAAAGGTTTATTTCCAGCAGACCTATTGCCCAGCCAATTGCMCATAATACAAATTGCTTAAAATTGTCCTAACTTTGCTGTAGTAGGAAAAGATACATCAACAGATTATTCTAAGGTAAAAGACTTTATTTCTGATTAACCTCATCCCCCATTACACATTTTTCAAAGCCTGAGAGTGGGGTGGAAACTAAATTAAACAACAGTTATGTATTTTGAAGCATCTTATTCCCCATACTTCAGTGTATCATACATGCATGCATGAAGTTCAGTAGATAACTAATTCAAAATGCAGCTGATCTGAAGACTTGGCTAGGCACCTCTGAAGCCTGGCCTGCAAGATCTGAACTTCAACAAGCTGGGTGGCAACTTCTTTTCAGTACCTCTGCGTTTATTAAAGGAAAAAATCCTCTGAAATTATTGCAAGCATTGTTGGACTGCAGAGAAAGCATTAAGTTCTTTTTTTTTTTTGCCCTAGTGTCATAAAAGACACAATAATGATATGTAAACATTAAATCTCTCACGTCTCTGTAACTGTTTGAAGGTAGGATGTTTTTTTTTTTTGACTCTTCAGAATTCACTTGTCACTGCTGTGAGTGTTAGGTGTAAGTATTACAAAGGGGAAACSTTGAGGTGAAGATGCCTTTTTCACTAACTTTTTGTTGGTCTTACAAACTTTTGCCTTGTTCTTTTATGCTCGTCTGTGGGTATTAATGTGGTCCCTGTTGGCAGAATTTTTCTCCACTGGAATTGACATGTGTTGTATCTGTTACAGAGGGAGCAAATGTATGCTGCACAGGAAATGTTCAAGACTGCAAACAAAGTTACGAGGCCAGAAAAGGCTCTTATACTTGGATTCATGGCAGGATCCAGAGGCATGTATTGATTTTAATTTAGCTTGCTTCTGAATTGCTAAATCTGAAATAGCCTAGCATTTCTAAATTTGCATATGAGTGCACTGCTTTAGCTTTGTCTGTATGTGCTAGACTCTTTGCTTTACTCTGGACTCTACATGATTTTTTGGGTTATAGTTCTAACTACCTGGAAATAGGTCTTTAGAGTCCATTTCCAGTAAGTCAAACAGCTGTCACAGCAGCTACTGACTGCAATRTAACTGAACTCATTGTAGAATCACRTCTTAGGATTGAAGAGGAACAAGGCAGCTGAACAGCTGTGAGCAGACTGGTTGTGTCCTGCTGCTCTGCCTAGAGGACCAATCAATGTAAATTCTTTTGTGGCAAGTTGACATACAAGTTGGGTAGTACAGAACCTCTTKGCTAATTCCGTGCTTGAGAAACTGGCAGCTGTTACCTCAGAGACTTTAGATAACCACTGGTGCTGTGAATCATGGGGAGATAAGCTTTCTTACAGCTGGATCCTGTTATGTATTGGCCTTGATAGACCAAAGCTGTTTCACCTAGAAGATTATCGGATGTAAGATGAGAAGGGGCTTAAGAGTCCTTAAGTGAACTCCATCATCTGCACTAGCTCTGGTTTCTAATTTGGTATTTGGGGGCTCTTATCACCAGAGTCCTGCAGCCTAAACGTGGTGCGTGCATTTGGATTAACATAACAGAGTAGTGAGGATGGTCAGAGTAGAGTTACTGTGGTGATCTCTGAGCTTTAAGTTTGAAGCATCTTGTATTTATGACAGTGTTTTCAGTACTGGATRTTACTTCAATTTGCAGTAGGAGGCTGTACTTGAGTATCTACATGGACAGGTTTTTCTATCACAAGATAAAATACTATATTGGAAGTGTGTGTATGATACAAATTCATGTATACAGTAAAGTATATATGAATATGAATTCCTTCAGTACTAATGTCAGTGCCTTCTGAAGGTTGGATAGAAAATTACSAACTGATCTTCTTGAATATCAGTACCTTGAAGTATAACATTTAACACTTGTATGGGCATGGAACTTAGTGGGACAAGTGGTTTCAGTGAAGCTCTTTGGGCTTCTATAACAGCTAAAAATTGTTGAGGCTTTTAACTACAAAATGTAACCCAAGGTAGTTCAAGTGTACCAACTCCCATTTAARCATAACCTTCTCTTTTGACTCTTGAGGCAGAGAGAAATGACACTGGCAGGCTTTACTCCCATCTTTTATTGTTCTCCCAGTTACTTTAGCCCTGAACTTCATCTTTTGGAGTCTGGTTTTGTTTATCTTTAAAACTTGATCTCAGGAGTATGGTGGGAGGAAGATCTCCAGCTATATGCTTTGCTCAGCTGAGGGTCTGAGGGTGTTATTTGGGGTTTTGGGTTTTTTTTAAGTTAAAGAATCTGCTATCTTGTCTAATAGACTGTTGAAATGTATAATGTGTTTCTCTCCTTGTTCCTGCAGAGAATCCTTGCCAAGAGCAAGGTGACATCATCCAAATTAAACTTAGTGAACATACAGAAGATTTACCAAAGGCAGATGGCACGGGCAGCACCACTATGTTGGTTGACACAGTCTTTGAAATGAACTATGCTACTGGTGAATGGACCAGATTCAAGAAGTACAAACCAATAACTAATGTTTCCTAAGAGATGCGACAGCAGCAGACTGGACCAAATCAAGCTTAGAGTCAACCAGCTCATAGAGTATGTCAACTGTACAAATGGCATTCATGTGTACATTTCTTATTACCCTCCAGAGTAGAAGTTGTGCTCTTCAACTAAACTGAGCTCAGTGAATACAGAAGATGATGGTGTCAAACTTGCTTTATTTTTTTTTTTAATTAATCTTGGGAGAGGGAAAGATGATCTTGAGAGGGGGACATTGTTGGTGTGTTTTTGTTTTCCTACAGTTCAAGATGCTGAAAAAAGAGATAACAGCTGAAAGGTTACAGAYGGGCACAGTTTACTGCTAAGTACCAGAAGAGAAGACTACTGCAGTCATTTATGGTTTACTGTTAACTGAGGGCACAGATCTTTATTGTAAAAACATTTTCTTTGGCAAACATGAGTTCTGTCCTAAGAATGGATATTWGAAGCACCAGAGATTGGTGCTTGATAATTTTGTACTTCAGCTGCAGTATAACTATTGCAGATGGTAGATGTCAGTGTCTAAAGGTACCCACTCTATGTTTAGCTTATTTATGCTTGGGTCATAGGATGAGATTGAGCAGCTTTGTTAACTCACAGTATTGTCAATGTACCTGCCCAGCATGAGTTAATCTATATTTGGCATTATTTGAGATTGACAGAAACTGAGTATCATAATTTTCTGAAGAAAAAAAACCCATCAAAATTATAAAAGTGATGGTGGCTTGTTGCTGCCTGGAAGTGATATTTTCTTGCCATAGGAGTCTTGGGGTAGAAGTTGATCTATGGCTCTTGCATAGCAAGCCCYTTGCACAGCATAACTTACCTGGAGGAAGGGAAACAACTAAATCTCAAGATCAATTGGCGCTTAATTTAGAAATGRCCCTAGAAATGGTTGAGACATATATCTAAATAGAAGAAGTCATTTTGTTGTGTTGAGGCACAGTTAATGTTATGTTTGGTTGGGCAGTCATAATGTGTTTGATTGCCAAGCCCTGACCCAAAATATTTTGAATGACTGTAGCTGTGGTTCTTATCAGTGTAGTTTTATCAATATAATTGCTAATGTGGCCACAATTATACTGGCATACAAATGTGCCTTGTACTCCCCTGCTAGTAGAAGCACATTTTTATCTTTATAACTGTATTCACACCACTGGTGTAATCTGGCTTTAATAGTACAAACAAAGCTGGCATTTACTGAGAGGATTTATGTATGTAAGTCAGGATTCCTTCTTGGGAGACTTGGCTGCATCATTTGAAGCAGACCTGGATTCAGTGTCTGGTTTCTRCCAGTACTTGTGTGTGGAGCTGTGCTTGGTTGGGAATGCTGCTTAGGAGGAAGAAACAAAAAGATGAGTGGCAGAGTGGTGATGTACTGAAGAGGTACCTTGGGCTCACTTAAAGGTTCATATTGAAGTGAAACTTTTAGGACAAAATGAGGCTTTTTTTGTTCTTGTTTCTTTTTTCTGAAAAGAAAGCAGACCAAATCCCATAGTACTCTTGTATACTAATAAAGACATTTAGACGTTTGATTAGTCTTTTTTTATTGGGGAATTCTTATTGCATTTTAATCTTAGTTTTTCAAGCAAATTACCCAACAGGACAGGGCAAGTATAAATAATATTTTTTTTTAACCCTGTATTCTACAGGTTTTAAGATGTGACCAAAAGTGTCGATTTCTTAACTTTATTTAAGCAAATATGCAGAATGTTCTAGCTTCTGTAAACAGGCAGGTTATTTGATGGGAACTGCTGCCATTACAGAGTGTTGTGCATGTTTTAGTGTGAAAGTTACTCACATATAACTCTCACATCGGGGCTGTCCTCCCCAGAATTACCCATTTCAGAAACAACGTAGRTTGTAATTTTGATTGCAACTTTTCTTTATAAACAGCTAGAAACCAGCTTGACAAGTGAGGATGAGTAGTGAGTTTTAGTTTTTAGGAGTTCAGTAGACTGCATTATGGTTATGACTTACTTGATTTCAGAGTGTTACACAGTAAGGGCTAATGATAGGATATGAAAGTATTCATCTTTTAAAAGAAAGGTTTAAAGAAAAGTGACATTCCTTTTGTCTGCGTTCAGATTTTAAAGTTTCCTTGTGATGACCAGTTTTCTGTGAACATGTGTGATACTTCTGTCTTAACTGTTCCTGCTTGCTAGATGAGGTGGAAGTATCAAATACAGTTGTTACAMATGAACATTTAGAAAATTGGCTGGCTTGAGGAGCACATATTGTCCCTGTAAACTGTTGATGCAAGACCTGTGCAGTTCAGTCGTGGTCAGGAGCTGCTGTGTTGTGTCTCTTGGCTTCCTCAAGACTAGTGGTGGTCCCTCACTAAACTTTCTGGGTCCACAGAAGTTTGTATTTCAGACCTGTGCTCTGGGGTGGAGATAGCTGTCCCTCTGCTCTTCAAGAAGCCCTCCTAGAATGCAGTGGAGTCATTTGAGTGCAGTAGTGTGTAGGAAGCTTAACCATGCTGCTATTTGTAATTGCTGCATAATGCAGTTRGTCTCCAGGCCTGTTTGTCTAAAGTCAGCCATATGCAATAAATGGAAATTTTAAATAGAACTATAGTATATTTTTAGTTCCGTTAACTCATTAGGATGAGACAATTTAACACTGCAAAAATAGATATTTTTAAAGTCACTCTATGACCCTCAATAGCAGAGCATTACTTCAACTTGATCAGTGAATCTAGAAAGTGTTTTTTAAATGCCTAAAGGGAAGTTTCTGCAACATTGTTAAAATGATACCCTAAGAGATAAAACTACATGAATTTTTTTGGTTCAGCAAATGAAATCATCAGATCTGTGTTCTGAAAGTAAGAATAATGCCAAACAAATCAGAAAGGGCAACATCAATATTGAAATTCCAATATATTGGAATTGTTACATAGAGAACAAAATCTGGCCCTGGAACTTGACATTTTTTGTCTTGAATACTCAGTCACTTGAAGCTATTCAGTGAGGCTCAGTGTGTGTGCTGTAAGGTTAAACAAAAACATTTCTTTACTCTAGAATGACTTGTAGATGTACTGAGTTGTCCAGGGAAGTAATTCAGTTTTCTTAAATCTTTGCTTGTGTCCTTTCCTCATTCCTTTAACCAAGAATGAAGTTTTAGGAAATAGCAAGCCCAAACTTYWRAAGTTTGGGCTTGARCCACACCTCATCAAGGAAGATGTCCTGGTTTCTCTTGCCCTTGCTTGTAGAGAACCCCTGTCTGTGCAAGCCTTCATGATGTGAATCAACTTCTTTGATTTTAAGAGTATGAAATATTGAAGAAAGGAGCAATGAAAGTGGCTTGTGTTTTCCCTATCCTGTCCAGACTTTGTTTTTAGGGGAGAAAGAGTGCATTCATCTAACCCAGGCTTCTTCAGCAGCTTGTCCTATAGCGAAGTGCTGGGTTTCTGAAGGCTCCGTTTTCTTTCACGTGTGCTGTGAGGACCAGAAAGAGTGAAATGTGTGTAATGAAGAAAGGGAGCCCAAGAAGAATGCTGAGCAAGAGTTCTGATCCCAGATTCATTGAATCTTTCTGTTCATTCTTTTGCTAGTGCTTTGTAATTCTCTCCATACAAACCAGTTTAGGCTTAGTACCATTAACACTGGTGTTTTGTGGGTTAACCCGATTTTCAGTGGTGGCTTTGCCATTTAATCTTTCAATTCAATACCATAAAATGCTGGATGCAGTGGGGAGGAGCCTTTGGTAGTTGCTTGACATGTCCATGTGGAATTAGCACTTCTCTCACTAAGCTGTGTCGAAGTGTAGACCATTTGTCTAGGTAAAAGGACCTTTTTGAGACTTTGAGACTTTGGCATCACACGGTTTAAGAGTGAATCACATTTTCATAATAAGATCTGASTGGAAAAAAAAGACTAAAAAATGTTAAGCCAGAGCCCTCTGGGAATCTGGTGCCTTTAACAAAAACTGTCATTTTGTAAAATGTCACATCTATAGCATAGCCCGTATGTTTTCTATTGGTTTTTGTTTGGTTGGTTTGTTGGTTTATTTTTTTTTTTCTTTTTTGTACAGGTGTAAATTCAAAATATTCTGTCTTTGGGTACGTATTTTCAGTGTAATACAGTATGTATAATAAAAAATTTAGATTTTCTAAGGAAATTGACTGATCCTCTTCTTAATAATAAAGTTGTTCATTGTACTAACAGTTGTGCCACCAACCTGAGACCAAACAGCCAAATTGCTTGATAAAATGTATGTTTTCAGATTTGTGGCATTGCTTATGTAGGTGCAKTTCAAAGTCAGCATTTCAAAGCTGACAAGTGCTGGTTTTGCTGGTTTAGGATATTTGTGAGTAGATTCAGTGAAATACCTGCTCTTGCATTGTGTGTGGGTGCACTTGAAAGCTGATGAGCCCTGGGTGCTGTGTCTGCAGTGTGTGGGTTTGATGTGCTGAAGCACTCGAGCCACAGCTGAGATCTGATGGTATGAGGAATATCYGCCATGCACAGGTTCTGTGGATGGGTTATGGAAGTGTGGAATAAACCCTGTTGATCTTCAATGCTGCATTTATCTGAATTAGAGCAATGGTGGCTTCTCTCAGTTTTAGAGTGTTGCAGAAGGTGGGTGTGTTTTGGTTTGGGAGGGGTGGTTTTTTGGGTGGGGTTTGTTGTGGGTTTTTAGAAACTGTTTTCATGCTCATGTACTGTTCCTAGGGTCTGGCTTGGTGATAAGCATGAATGTTTGTCTTACAGTGTTGAGTTGTGTGGATATGTGTGGCTGGCCTAATCCCAATTTCCTTACGTGCAGCTGTGTGAAATGGCTCTGTTCCACTTGCCTGTGCTGGGGTGGTGCCAGACATAGTCTGAAATTTTTCTTTTCTGTGTCAGGTTAACCTTATCAAATAGCCAGGAAGAGAATTGTGTTCCAGGTCAGCTGCTCTGGTAGAATGCTTGTGACAAAAGCTTTGGGATAGGTTGAAATGCACATTTMATTTGTTATTTCATAGGGCACTTGCTCTGTGAGGTTTCTGGGTGCCCAGACTCTGATACACGCCGCATKACCAGGGCACAATCAGACCCAGCAATCTCTGTGCCAATGGACACTGGAGAGCCTTAGCTGGTACAAGGATGTAGGGGATTTTATCTTTAGGATGTTGCTCTAGTGCTAACCCTTAAGACTGATGATGGGCCAAAMGTTGACCTTTTCCAGACCTGGACAAGCTCATGTCAGGGCTGTCCTTTATTCCTAAAGTGCCTTTAGACAGGGCTTGAACATCTCAAGAGTCCACTCCTCTCCTTGCCAAGCAGGCGTGTGTGTACATGTCTTAGTTTAGAGACAATTTTAGAAGAAAATGCTCTGGAATGAGCGTTTCCTCTAAAGAAAGGGGTTCAGCAATCCCTTCCCACTGATATGAAATGAATATTGGTCGGTGAAAGTGAAAAAAAACCTGTTTATTTGACAAACAATGTATCCATACAGCACGGCAGAAAAATGAATAGCTTACATATTGAACCATGAGAACTTTAGCCACCCCCTCACACACACMCAGAGCAGAACAAAAAACCAGAATGCCAGGGGAAGGGAAAAACTGCTGGCCACGTGGCCAAAAACAAAATGATGGACGGCATTGTCTTGGGGGAGGAAGAAAGGAGTCCAAGCTGTTCCTYCTTTCCTCCCCAGATGCTGCAGGCAGGGACGGGAGAGACAGTGCCACCTGCACTTGTTCTGCCTAAAGCACCAGCTGGGTTTGACCTGCATCCTTAGCACTGACTACACCCAAGACACACTGGTCCATTTTGGAAGTTTTTTCACATTTTAAGACCTTATTTTTAACTGCTTGGGGTGGGGGTACTAAATAAGAATAAAGTGTTTTGTGTTGTTTGTGAGAAAGTAGACATTTAGCCTCTGCATATCATTGTGATTGGRTAAACCCTTAGATGCCTGCTGCAGTACACCACCTTTCCTTTGGCTAGCTGTACTTTTTTTTTTTTAATTATTCCTTCTAAACTCAGGCACAGAAGAAGCACATTTTTTTTAAAAAAAAGAGGTGTGAGTTATTTGTTTCAAAATGACTGCACTAACTCTTTTTACTTAAATTCCTTCAGCTCCCTTGCGTGGGTTTCGTTATTCCATCTACACAACAGCCACCGATGCCGGAGGTTTCTGCTGGAGCAGTTTGGGAAGAGCAGCTCCAGCTGTTTTGGGGTGAAGTGGTTTCGGTGCTGACCCGGGCGTGGAGGTGTCCCCTTGCCYAGCGCTGTGGTGCCATCGCGTGGCCGTTCGCTCATGAGCAGGTTTCGCTGGCCGGAGCACAAAACCCTGCATATGCATCCAGGAACGCTGGTGGTGCTTTTTTCTTTCTCACATGTGTCGTGCCTTGGCTCTCTCTTGGGCACAAGGCTGTTGGCTGTTTGTTAGGAACCTGTATCCCTGAAGCCTGTCCTGTGAGAGTCAGTGGATACACCTTGGAATAATGTAAAAGAGAGGTCTGGATTTCCCAACACAGCCCATGGGGTGGTGCATCCCATGGGGTCAGGAGTGCCTCTGCCTTTTCATCTGTGAAGGAGAAAGTAATACCTGTGGGCTGTTATTTCTACAGTCAGCCAGTTCTGGGTATGAATCACAAGCTGTATTGCTTGAAGAAAAGTCTTTTCCAAGRAAAAGCCCCTGTCAGAATCCAGCTTGCAGTTTGTCTGATTATCTTGCTCTTTCCCAGGCGGCAGCTCAGCCCAGCCCCCCAGTTTCTAGCTCAGCAGCAGCGTGCAGATCAGCAATGCTGCCAGAGGACCACAGATTAATATGGCACACCAAGGACCATCATTTTCCCTGGAGTCATGGGARCAGGAGAGCTTTGCCTGCCTTGGACCCTGACAGTCATTTGCCACTCCAACAGGTACATGATAAACCTGGGACACCAACAGTGGCAGTGGAGTGSTGGATAACCATGGAAAGAGTCTAAGAATACAAGGATAAAGTGAGTCCAGRGGAAAASARTAAGATCCTCMGAGGGCTGGAGCATCTGCTATGAGGACAGGCTCRGAGAGTTGAGGTTTTTCAGCCAYGACAGGAAAAGGCTTYAGGGAGGCCTTACAGCACCTTCTGGTACCTCAAGGGGCTRTRAGAGWGCTGGAGARGGCACATAATGATATGGACAAGGGGAAATGGCTTTAMACTGGAAGASTGCAGGGTCAGGTTAGTTATTAGGAGAAAAAAATGTGTGATGGTGGTTGCCCAGGGAAGCTGTGGCTGCCCTATCCCTGGAAATGTTCAAGGCCAGGTKGGATGGGTCTTGGAGCAACCTGRTCKAGTGGAAGGTGTCCCCATCCATGGCAGAGGGGTTGAAATGGGATGATCTTTAGGGATACCCTTCAAGCCAAACCACTCTGSTCTCTGCTGGTCATTAATACCTTCCTGACCTTATAGAGTCACTGGTGACCTACCATTTTCAGCCTGAAATGTGTCAGTCCCCTGCCAGCTCACACACTCCTCTCCTTTGCACTACCCCCATTGCAGGTGGGGCCTCATCTGGGGATTTTCACCCYCACAGCACTTACTGTCACATCCCARCTGACAAAAGCTGAGGCKATGGYAGGTCACATGTGACACTGAAGAGGGCTGGTGTTTGAGAGTCCTCTTGCTTTGTGTTATTAAACAGCAGACAGCTCACCTGGATATCTACCACCCAGGTGACTTCCAGAGTCCTGTGGTAGCCTTTGGTTTTGTAAACCCTGGGAAACTCAGAAATCAAAGTCTGCACTCAGCAGTTGAAACCTCTAATGGTAAATTCTTTGCTTGCTCAGTTTGGAAGCAAACTGAGCAAGCAAAGTGGAAGTGTGGATTTGGGCAGTTTTGGACAAGAGCTGTCCTCTACAGGCTGGGCAAGGCCTGGGAGTTGGCACGCACTGCTGGAGTGCCATGTTCTTGGCAGAAAGAACAAGTGCCATGTTCTTGGCAGAAACGTCACTGCTGCTGCCTCTGCCCTGTAAGCTCTGAGCATGGAGGGCACTGTCTGGTTTATCTGGGGACACAAGGTCTGCCAGCTATGGAAGAGCAACAGAACTGACAGGAACAGGGCCCTGTGCCAGCCTAGGACATCGCTTTTGATCAACCATGACACTGCTTTTTATTCTGTGAACCAACTAGCAAAAGCATTTAATCTCAATGGAGACAGGCCTGGACAGGTCAGGAGTTTACAAATTTGTCTGTTGTACTTTTCTGCCCTGAAGTGGCATTAGACTTTCCCTGTCAGAAGTGTATTTCCAACTTGCCCARTTGCTAAAACAATTGAGAGGAAAGCAGCCTGTCTCACCTCTCAGCTGGGCTGTGGGAGCTCATCCAGAAAGGGGGCTCTGAGGGTAGAAGGAAGGGCTTTAATATGCAATTTCCCTATCTCTTCCATGCGTTAGGTTGAAAATTCGCAGTGGAAGTGCTGCCACACACGGTTCTGAAGCGCTTTTCCAGTGTGTCCCTGTGTGCAGTAGCTGCTCAGCAAATGCTTGATTTGCTTCTGCAACTGGGGAGTGTGGGAAGCTCTGCAGCCTGTGGGATGGAGGGGGCTGATCTGCTCCCCCAGCAGGTAAATCCCTCTGGGTGACCGCTGGCAGTGCTTTAGCAGCGCCCCGAGCTGCTCCATCCTGCAAATGCTGCTCCTGCAGGAGTTGTCCCTCGCGGCGGAGGCTGCAGAGGGGACGGCCCTGCAAGGCCTGGGTGGGGCAGGCTCTTTACACGGACTGAGATCAAACACCCAGTGCAGAGCCCTGGAAAACCTGCAAAGCCAAGCTGAGCGATATCAACTGAGAGCTCTCCTGCTGCCTGCAGGGAAGGGGGAAGGGGCAGCCCTCACCCACCCCTGCCTGCCCCCGAGCCCCTGGGCAGTGTCTCTGAGAGGCCTCCAGCCCGGGATCTGGCCTGTGCTCACTTTGGCAGTGACCAGTTCGGGTCAAGGGTCTGTSTGACAGCCTTGGAAGGCCACTGGTCACTGCCTGACCTGCACCCACCCAAACTGGTGATCCCAGAGCGGAGGAGACTGCCCTGTCTCCACACAGCCGCCATGAGGCAGGATAGTCAGGCAGACTCTCACTGCCAGAGAGAGGAGGACCAGGAAATGTCCCTGGTCCCAAATGGACCCTACCTGGGCCACTGTGAGGAAACCTGAGGATTTGTGTTAGAGCAGGGTCATCTTGGCTCATTGTGTTGGGTTCTACTGAGAATTCTGGAACACAAAGAGCACGGGCAGTGCATGGCAGTGTTGGGTCTTGCTGAACGTGGGGCCTGCATGTGGAGCATCCGCAATCCTGTATGAACAGCCCTCTGAATTTGGGTGAGGATAACATGAGATATTGCATTCTGCTATATACTAAGGGAAATCCTCTCACAGCGGGGCTTGGCAAGGCTGATTCCTGAACAGTGGGGGCAGAGGAAAAGGGAGGATCTTTCAAAGAAAGGTAAGGAAAACATGGCAATATCTTTGTCCTCAGGTGGCCCAGCAAGCAATACAGGCACTGGAAAATGTGGACAATGGGGTGGGGCCTCATTAAACTTAATGCCCGCACCTCAATATCATCATCCATGAGCTTGATCCTGGTAAAAACAGCTTGAAGGATTGTCGGACACCTTGGGGCAGCAAGGGGGGARTGAAATGCTGCTCAGGAAAGCTCTGTGCTCACCAGAGGCTGCGTTCTGGTTACAGTGCGGTTGGCCCCACAGAAAAGGGAACTCTTCTGGGGTTGTTTTTCTTGTTTCTCTTCTTTCAGGAAATCTTGTGTGTCTGAAAAATGAAATCCTCTCACTTGACGAGGTCACGGGGGCCTGGCCCACAGCCAGGCCGGGTTCCCATGCTGCTCTGCCCGTTCCTCCCCGGCAGCCCATCACTTCCTCCAGGGCGCTCCTCTGCCAGGTTTCTGTGCTGCTGTGAGGAGAGATCTGCTGCTCGGGGTGCCTGCTTTGTGCTCTGCTCTGAGGAGGCTGTATCGTCTTAAGACCTGTTGCAGTCTCCGAATATAAACCCCCCTTTGTTGGGGAGAGGTTGACTTGACTGAGCCGCATGATCAGAGTCAGGTGACAAAATTGGGCACAGCAGCGGAGGAGAATGAGCAGCAGGCTGAGGGCATCAGCTGCTGATCTTGCCTTTTGACAGRCTTTGTTACTCCTCAGGGAAAAATGAGTGCCTGGCCCTCTCCTCTGCTCTGGAGCTTGACCATGGTGTGTTTAGCAGGTAAGTCCTCCTGACACGGGGTTTGTCGTCAGTGGCTGAGCACAGAATGGGTAAAGCCATGATGGGATTGTGGAGCCCTGGGGTGCGGCAGTGGGCAGGGCTGGGGGCAAGGCAGGCAAGGAAATAAGTGTTGAAACAAAGGCAGTGTTGGAAGCGGGATGGATATGGTAAAGATAAAAATTTGTTTTTATAAGAAAAAATAAAAGAAGGAGAACTGGAGCTGTATTACTCTGCACATTGAAGATTTGCAGTGGCTGTATCCTAAATCCCAAGGAACAGGATGCCTGCTGGTAGGTTGGGAAAGAGCAGCTCTGTATCCTTCCCTGACATCCTCAAGGCTCTTGTTCGTACCAAGGCGTCACACAAAATGACAGATCTTTCAAGTATCCCTGGAGATACTTCGGGTGATTCACAGTACTCCTTAAAAAAAAAAAAAAAAAAAAAAAAAAAAAAAAAAAAAAAGGCTGTAGAAAGTCAAAATTGCTGTTCCATGATATAGACAGTGTAAGTGCAGGAGAGAAAATGGCTTGTCTGAGAAGCTGAGTTTGTTTGAGTACTGTCTTTTCACATTTGTGACTGACATTAGGTGATAAAATAAACACAAACACTTTACTAGGTGCTCAAAACTACTTTTTCAGCCTGCTGACTTCTTTTTCTCCAGAAGTTGTTTAARTTATTAAGAAGTAAGGTTATTGATGGCTACTGAAGTTTTGCAACCCACTCTACTATTTTAGTAGCATGTTGCAAAAAACTACTTTGCATTTTAAAAAAATTCCTCATAGCAGCACCACCATTTAACACTAAAACCAAACAATGAGTGAAACRTACTCSACTAAAACCCCCAACRACAACAAAATTCATCCAGCCATGGRCAGTCCAAGGTGTTGAAACCTCTGCAGTGTCTCTGGCTGGCAGATCTGAGCTGTTGGGGACAGGAGGAAGCTGTGAAAGATCAGACTCTGATCTCAGAAGTCTTTCTGAGAGGTTTTCCCAGGAGAATTTGACAGCGCCCTTGACTTACTGCAAATGTTTACTCTAAGATTAGTTTAATGGATCTCAGGACTGACTCAGTTTGCTGCCAGAGGTGAGGAAGAGCAGCAGGCTGGTTTCAGCCCTTAAGGCAGGGAGTCAGATTGGGGGAATTGTGCATCCTGTTTCTGGGTGGAGGCATGGCCATAGTAGCAGTGTCTTGTGTGGGCACTGTGGAGCTGCTCTCCCTGCCTCRGATCAATGCTGGCACCTCTGTCCCTTGGATTTGAGTCTGGGACAAAGCAACATGCCACAAAATGATCACTGTTGGGTTTAGTGTSTCTGTTTTAGGGCTACAGCAAGAAAATTTGATTTAGCTCAGTTGGTCAGAGCATGGTGCTAATWATGTCAAGGTTGTGGGTTTGATCCCCATATGGGCCATCCACTAAAGAGCTGGAGTTTGTGATCTTCTGGGTCCTTCCCAACTCAGACTATTCTGTAAATTTTGTAAAATTTGGGCAGTGGCCCAGACAGCTGGGTGCTCCTCTCTTTACTCAGTAGTTACACAAAGATGAGTTYTGGCACTTGGTGAAGCACAGAGCAGGCAGTCAACAACAGGAGGGAACACTCGGCAAACTGTCTCCATGTGATCACAACCTTATAAAGACTCTTTTATCCACTCTCCTGATCCAAAACTTTAACTCGAGCTGCTATCAGCTTGGCCTGCATGCTGGTGTTCACCCCACAGTGCCTGGCTTTGCATGGCAGGGACAAAATTGAGAGAGAAATTAAAGCCTGGGGGTGAAGCAGGGCTGGGGAAAAGCCTGCAGGGATGTGGGTCTGACATCTGACAGCTTGTGCTGTCAATCCCCTTGTCACCCTGCCCGTGTCCTTTCTCACCTACATCCTGCTGATGGGTATCAGCTGCACTCTTAGAACTTCTTGAAATCCATTAACAAATTTCTTAAGAGTCCTTTTTATTTTCCATGCCACTGGACATGGCTTGCCAGAGGGGCTTAGCAGGTGTGTGCTGCTTGAGAGAGCATTTACACCCTGCAGTATCAGCTCCAGTCAAATACTGATGTTGTGTAAGTTTGGGGTTTTCAGAAGTTTCATTAAGTATTGAGTAAATCCCTGCTCTGAGCTCCTGGTGGCTGGCCAGCAAAGCGTGTTTTGGTTTTGCTTTTCTTCCTTTGCTTAGTACCTCACTGCTAAATTAACAATAACCTGCTGCTTTCCATGCTTGGTTTCATGGGTCGCTCCTGTTARAAACTGGAGGCCATTCCCCATGCCTGTGCCAAGGGATGTCTTCCATCAGCAGATGATGTTCCAGTTCACCATGGATCACAAAACAACCTCAGCTGCAGTAATACCTCCTTTCTCTACAGATTTTGGCAATCCTCACTCTGATGAGGGATTTCAGAATTAAAGRAAGTCTTGGCCTGCAGGTTCCCTTCTGGTTACTGGATGTACCTCCAGAASAGCTTTAAAAAATCCTGAGCCCATGACTTTTCTTGGCTGATCTCTTTAAGGGAGATGGGATAAAGCAGCCAGCTACTTGACAAGCATCTTAAATCAGATTGTCATGGGATCTCAGGGTAAACAGTCTCAAGGAGCTAACAAAACTTGTGTTTCAGGCAATTCTCACACCCTCTTATCTGGGAGAGTCAGACCTCCTGGGCATTGGCATCTGCTTAGCTGTGGCCTCATGGACTCATAATTCATTTCCTTGATAAGTCTCTCATGTGCCAGAYGTGCTCAGATGCTGCCTCAGATCCCTGCTCTGCAGTGGAGCACAGCAGTCGGGAGTTTCTGGGCATCAAACAAGGATATTTGCTTTAAGTAGGTGATAAAGACCAAAATGGGAAGGCATCATTAAAGGGAAGACAACTTGGACACTAATTATGTTTTTTCTTCTCT